CGATTTTTCCACATTCAAAGATGTTTAATTATATCTTGATTTTTTCTTACGTTAATAATCGCAGAGCTTGGGAAAGGTATGAATCTATCTCGTTTCACCACAGCTTTGGGTTAAATAGCAGGCCAGACTGGCTTTTATGGCGTTGGTTGGCAGAAAGCAACGGCAGCCTACTGCGGGAATATCTTCTGCCTGTTCAGTCATGAATTGGAAAAGACATGACAGCCCGAGTGTGTATCACGCATGTCACTTAACTGACTAAGAGCTACAAAAGATAAGATATGGGGAGAGCAATGGTCTCCAACGTCTTGAAGAAACATGTCACATAGAAGAAAAAGAAGAATTTAAGGAGAGTCATGCTCGCCTATATTCTGAAGGGACATGATATAAAAATTAAAATGAAGCTTATTTTTTCAAAAAGTAAGTCTGATCGGTTTCATGCGATCAAATTGGCAGCTGGTCTAAAAAGTCACTTAAAATTTGCTGTTAACAGAGACAACGAATGGCTTGTTAATTTTAACGACTCCAAAACAAAATTACTTTCTATTAATCATCTGAGAGACCCGTTTTTGCCATCGAGAGTCATGGCTGATGCTAACCTTCAGGATAGTGACCCTTTCCGCCTTCTCGGGTTAACCTGTTCTGCTGACATGAAATGAAAAGATTATTGAATCCATTGCTAGTTCTGTTGCTAGGAAAGTTGGTTCACAGTATCGTGCTAGACAATTTTTTCTCCAGAATATATCTTACATATTTATAAGTCTACCATTCGGCCATACTTGGAATATTGATGCCGCATATGGTCTGGTGCTCTTGCTAGATTTTTAGAGATTTTGATAAATTCCAAATAAGAATCTGCAATGTTATTTGTTCTGATATCTGGCATCCCGGCTTCAGTTAATTTCCTATCGCCATAATGTCGCTTCTTTGTGCCTTTTCTTTAAATACTTCCAGGGTAATTGTTCTTATGGACTTTTCTCTATGGTACCTAGGCTTTATGAATTTAAGTGCAGTACTAGATTGGCGGCAAGGTCCCATCATTTTACAGTTGAATTGGCGAGATGTATCCATGAGTTATTTTCTAAAAGTTTCTTTGCTTGCAATTCTCGCTTGTGGAACTCTTTTATGGCTTCTTGCCAACTTTCCACTCAACTTTGATTTTTAAAAAGTTAAATGCAATGCCACTTTCCTTGATGTCACTTCTTTTATTGTTCTCGCTCCTTAATAATGTTTGTCTTTTTCTTATTCTTTCACACTTCATGTGTCTTAGTAGCTTTAGTGCCTTGCTTGGGATGAAATGATTAAAAAACAAACAAACAAACAAACCCTGTCATAATAGATCATAGATATCTTTCGGTGTGAAATCTACCGGGAGAATATAATATGTTTCTTATCTTGCCGCCATAAGTTCTTCTCGGTAAAGAAGCCAAAATGCCCTTCAGCATTTTGTGTAAGTAATAAAATTTCCCCTTGACAGATTTGGTTGGACTTGATATATAATCATCCTACAAGATAACTTAGAATAAAATGTATTCCATAAAAAAGTTATCTTTTTATGCAAAAGAAAATTATTTTTCGAAAGAAGTTATCAACACCGTGACCGTTAAGGACGTGGGCGATCATGGCCCTCCACAACTTCCTATCTCTTGTAGATCTTCCTTCTGCCATCCACTTAAACAAGTTTGTTAGATAGCTTACTCGCTGTTTTCGTCTCCCCTTTTTTTGCATTACATATGTCCTGTGAATGCAAAATTCTCCAAGCCTTCCTTCCTTATTGTGTGTCCCATAAATGTTTCTTTATGATTCAAAACATAAGCGTTATTTCTGCGAGTATATTTCTTACAACTTCCTCGTTATTCATATGCTCTATCCATAGTATTCTTAGCATTTTTCTATAGAACCACATCTCTTTTGCTTCAAGTCTCTTCTTCATCTGTGATGAGATTGTTCAACATTCAGTGCCATAGAAGAGAAAGTGATGTTTTCATTACACTTCAGCACTCTTTTCTTTGTTTTTATAAATTTTTCCTGCTTTTTAATATTTTACTAAGGTTTTGAATAGCAGCTTTCTCTATTCCAGTGGACCTACCGGATAATCTCAGTAGATCAAAATATACTACAAATCTAAAGCCATACTTACATGCAATTGCAATCACTAATATATTTAGTTTTTGTGCGCCACAATTTTTCTTAAATATCTATAAGTCCATGCTTAGAATATTGGTGGCATATATGGTTCAGTGCCCCTGCTATTTACCTTGAGCTCCTTGATAAAATCCAAAGAAGAATCAGCAATATTATTGGTCCTAATCTGGCGGCTAAGGCACTTTCCCACCGTTGTAATGTTGCCTCTCTGGGTCTTTTCTATAAATATTTTCAGGGTAATTGTTCGGATATGCTATTCGCTATGGTAACTAGTTTTTTTGAATTTAAGCGCAGTACTAGACTGGTATCGAGATCTCATTAATTTACAATTTGAGCTGGCTAGATGTAACCATAAGTTCTATGCTAACAGTTTATTTCCTCGCACTTCTCGCCTGTGGAACACCCTTCCATCTCCATGCTTTCCAGCCAACTCTGATCTGCAAAAATGTAAATTCAACGCCAATCGCTATCTCCTGTCTTCCTGAGTTGAGCTGGCTAGATGTAGCCATAAGTTCTATGCTAACAGTTTCTTTCCTCGCACTTCTCGCCTGTGGAACACTCTTTGTTCTTCATGCTTTCCAGCCAACTCTGATCTGCAAAAATGTAAATGCAACGCCAATCGCTATCTCCTGTCCTCTTGATTATTCTTTTCTGTTCCCGCCCCTTATTAATGTTCCTAATTCTTCCACACTCTGTAACTCCTTCTGTTTTGTGGCTTTACTGCCTTGCATGGGGCGATACTGATTTAAAAATAATAATAGTAATTAAATCTAATCAGATTGCTCTTTATTTTAACTGTTATTTATCTGTAGATGTTTCTAAAGAAATTTGACGTGTAGTAATGGCTTACAGCTTTCCCAAGTCATAATCTAGAAACAAAGTTTCCTGGTTGTTTTATATTAGTAGGTAAATTAAACAGAGCATATTTCATGTTTTAGAGTTGCTTGCAATTGCAACGTCTGGATAAAGTTGGAATAAATATATCTAAACAAAGGTGTTACATAGTTTTTGCAAAGTGCCCAGTAATGATAATAAAAATATAGTCTACTGTTGGTTTCTGAGTATGCTCATCTGCTATTTGGGCCAGCGGAAGGTAGATAATGCCTGTTACAGATGCCGGCAAAGGTTCATTTGTTTTAACCACCAACTGAGGCAACCTATGGGTTTATACAGAAACAAATTTCAGCAGACCCGAGTTTTAGTTTATGGGAGAGGGCGCATAATCTGGCGTAAGCAACAGTTTTGGACAAGGACAATGACTTCTTAATTGAACCTAGCACAATTATGTGCCTATCAAAGTTAACTCACAGAGTTTGGGTCAAACTGTGGTATGGTTTTCAGGCAATTCTCAATAGTATTGAAAGGTATCTTCTCCGCGGGCAGAATACTCTCAAGATGGCAGAAACTATAGATATTGAACCTGGTAGAAGATGGAAAATGCAACAGCAAGGTACGAACATATTGGACTAACGAAACAAGCAGACACGAAGAAAAATTCGTTAGAAACAAAGAAAAGAGTACTGGATTGCTATGCATTATACATTCTCTTATATGGTAGTTCATATTCTATCTATTCCCTTATATGGTAGTTCATATTCTATTTATTCTCTTATATGGTAGTTCATATTCTATCTATTCCCTTATATGGTAGTTCATATTCTATTTATTCCCTTATATGGTAGTTCATATTCTATCTATTCCCTTATATGGTAGTTCATATTCTATCTATTCCCTTATATGGTAGTTCATATTCTATTTATTCTCTTATATGGTAGTTCATATTCTATCTATTCTCTTATATGGCTATAAGCTGAACAATCTCCCCACTAATAAGGAGAAAATTAGAGGCAGCAAAAATAGGATTCTAACTAAAGATACTGTGAATTTCATGGATACATAATAAGGAAGGACGGCTTAGAAAACTTAATCCTCACAGGGTATACTGTCGGGAAAAGAGATAAGGGAAGGCAGCGATCCAATTTACCTGATGGCAGAACGGGCAGCGGGAGCCTTGGAAAAAGGAGAAAAACTACTAAAAGCTACAATAGATAGGAAGTTGTGGAGAGCCATAAACTCCTATGTCCTTAAGGAACGTGGCACATAGAAGAAATGATAAGAACCTAGTTTTTATGCTATCCTTCTATCAAATCGTCAAGACGCACACAATCTACTGTATATATATATTTTCCTTTTTATTAAATTCTACACTTTGTACGTCTATAAGCAAATCTTGAATGAATGTCATTATATGACATCGACTTTTTCCGTATGTAAAACCTGAGACATCTGTCCTATGTAGACGACTTGAATTAATAACATTAAAACAATGCTCCATTGTGTGGCTTGTCTTGAGACTTAAATACATTGACAGAATTAAATATATGTTCCACATTAATCAATATTAAATTTAAGTTATATAGTTGGATAAAAAAAAGATCAGCTTTTATACGCGATTGTTTAATACATAGCCCAAAAGCCACTCAAGATAGAGGATTACTGAATAGGGTTGTTTTAGAGACGTAAAAATTGTAGATAATGAGGATATTGAGGATAGATAATTGTTGAATCTAGACTTAGTGATCTGAGATGCATCCTCTAGTGAAAAAGGTGTCTAAGTCCCAAAGAGAATGCTTTAAATGCGGCTAAGTTGACATTGCTGTATGTAGGCTATTTATATTGTTAATATAAGTGTATTTAAAGGATGTTGGTATCACTCTATCTCTTACAAGATCAAGTTAGAGTTTTCACTCCGCTGTTCGTACGATGCAACCAAGTAGAATATGTCGATTGCTATTCGAAGAGAAGAATGCCATAAATGTGGGAGCATAATTTCATTTGATAAAAAGAATGAAAAAATGTCAAGAATAAAGAATGAAGAAAACGACGGGGAAAGCGTCAAATGGACGCTTGAGAAAGAAGAAGAAGAAAAAGAAGAAGAAGAAGAAGGGAGTGGAAAAAACAAAAAAAATGCGATTTAGGGAAAAGGTTACTGTCAATATATATATATATATATATTGGTGCATAAGAAGAAAGAAAAATGGAGAAAAAAGTGAAAAATAGAAAGAAAGAAGGAGAATTAGAAAAGTCGAAAGAAAGAACGAAAGAAAAATATGGACAAAGAATGAAGACAAAAATAATGAAAGAAAATTTGAAAGAAAGAAAAAAATAGAAAATACAAAAAAACATTGACAGAAAGAAAAAATAGAAAGAAGGGAAAATAGAGAAAAAGAAGGAAAATAGAAAGAAAAAAAACAAAGGAAGGCAAAAAATAAAAGAAACTTCGAATGAAATAAAAACAAATAGAAAATGAAAGAAAGAAAAATAAAAAAAAAGAATAAAATATAGTGAAAAGTATGAAGCCAGAAAAGAAGAAAAGAAAATTCAAAACAAAGAAAAATAAAACGAAAGAAAAATTGAAAGAAAGAAAAATAGAGAAAAAGAAAGAATAAAAATAAAAAAAGAATTTTCGAAAGGAAGAAAAATAGTGAAAAATATGAAGGCAAAAAAGAATAAGAGAAAATACAAAAAGAAAAACAAAATTCAAGAAAAACTGAACAAAGAAAAATGGAAGGAAAGAAAAAAGAGAAAAAGAAAAGAAAATAGAAAGAAAGAGAAAAAGAAAGGAAAATAAAAATAAAATGGAAAGAAAGAGTAAAAGAAAGAAAAAAGAGAAAACGAAAAATAGAAAGAAAATAAAAAAGAAAAAAGGAAAAATAGAAAATAAAAAAGAAAAATAGAAAGAAAGGAATAAAGAAAAAATAAGAAAAGAATGGAAAATAGAAAGAAAAAAAGAAGAAAATGAAAGTAAAAATAAAAATAAACAAAAAAAGAGAAAAACAAAGAAAAATAGAAAGAAAGAAAAATAGAGGAACAGGAAAATAGAGAGAAAGAAGGAAACGTAGAGAAAACGGAAGAATGAAAAATAAATAAAAAACAACTTTCGAAAGAGAAGCAAGAAAAATAAAAAAAATAAAAATAAAGAAATAAAAATAAATAAAAAGAAGGAAATATTGAAAGGTACAATATACGAAAGAAAGAAAAATGGAAAGAAAAGTAAAAAGAAAAATAGGAAAAATAGAAAGACGGTAAAGCAGAGAAAAATAAATGAGGAAAATAGAACGAAACAACATTCAAAAGAAAGAGAAATAGAAAGTATAGAAAAAGCCTGAAGGAAAAACAGAACAAAATTCTAAAGAAAGAAAATTCTAAAGAAAGGAAAAGAAATCAAGAAAAAAACATAGAGGTAGAAAGAAAAATCGAAAGAAATGAGGAAAGACTGAAGAAAAAACGGAAAAATAAAAGAATGATATAAAGAAATGAAGAAATAAAGAAAAATAGCATAAAAATGTCACCAGGTGACAAGTATACAAACAGGCAACAAATTTGCAATATTTCCAAGAAACACGAGATACACTAAAACCAACACTGAATTCATTGGTTGTAAAACACATACCTCCAGTCATTGCGAATGTTCAAATCGGTGTTATCGCTTTGAGCGGTGTTATACACGATACTGACAATAACATTATAAACAGTGGATCTCATCTTTCTAAGAGAAACGTTTCTATTTCCGTAAATTCTATCGCGGTTAAAATCAATAAAGGTTTTAATCGGTGTCCTGGTGGCAATCTTCAAAGCGCCCGAGACTCTGAACAAGCAGTGGACAACGACGGCCTTCCTCACTGACTGACCAATTATGAAGCGGTCATTAATGATAAGAAGACACTTAAATAAAGATAGAAAAGGATTTTGCCAAACATTTCCAAACTTGGTAAGAGATAAGTTTGGCATTCGAACGAGAAGAGGTGATGCGTGGAGCTGATTTAGAGAAGTGGAAACGACTTAAAGTTGAAAGGAATAACAATATAATGATCTATGAGAAAGAAAGAAGGAAAGAAGGAAAGAAAGGAAAGAAAGGGAGGAAGGAAGGAAGGAAGGAACAAAGGGAAATACAAAGTAAGAAAAAAGAGAAAAAGAAAATAGGAAGAAATAGAGAAATAAAGATAAAAAGAAAGAAAGAAAGAAAGGAAGGAAGGAAGGGAGGAAGGAAGGAAGGAACAAATGGGAAATGCAAAGTAAGAAAGAAAAAAGAGAAAAAAAAAGAAAATAGAAAGGAAGGAAAAAACAAAAGGGAAACGTAAGAAATCAAGAGAAAAAAGAAAACAGGAAGAAATAGAGAAAGAAAGATAAAAAGAAAGAAAGAAAGAAAGAAAGGAATGAAGGAAGGAAGGAAGAAACAAAGGGAAATATAAAGAAAGAAAGAAAAAAAGAGAAAAAATAGGAAGAAACAGAGAAAGGAGGGAGGACAGAAAGAAAATTAGAAATAAAGATAAAAAGGAAGAAAACAAAAAAGATAGAAAGAAAAATTGATAGGAAAAAGACAGAATGAAAGAGAATTAGGAAGAAACAGGGAAAGCGTGAAATAAAGAGAGAAATTAGAAGAAAAAAATAGAAGGAAATGACGCAGATAAATAAAGAAAATAGAAAGAGAGACAGAAAGAAAAAAATAGAAAGAAAGCCAGAAAGAAAAGTAGCAAGAAACATAGAAATAAATAAAGAAAGAAACACATAGAAATTTTTCTTCTACTTCGTCAGTTAAGACAAGGGAGACAATTCAATGCTTTAATCTAACCGATATCGAGGCAATACTCAGCTCTTTCCCAAAGATATGGGCAAAATATAAACGACAAATATGCATCTATCACCGAGACAAGTAAATTCAAATAAAATAATAAGAAATGACTGATTTCTATTTTCAGCATGTAAGCGATAATGTCTCTCCACAACATTCCTTTCTTTGCTATCTGCAACCTGTGTTTTGCATAATTAAAAAAAAATAATTAAAATACTTAACTTGTTTCCACTTCCTTTCTCTAAGGTTTCAATTTCGTTGTTCTTCTCCTGGGTTGGTTGTCAACAAAGGCTAGAGAGATAAGTCTACCCTGCTATTTAATCAATGACCGACGGAAGTAGTTCTTGCCTTTTGTTATTGGCAATAAAACAAACACAAAATATCTCAATCGGCTTGTCGATTATAATATTTTATACGGTTGGTCACACAATACAAGGCCAAAGTGCCTCTCAGGGTAGAGGATTACTGAATGAGGTTGTTGTAAGAGCATAAAAGTAGGAAAGTGCATATTATGATGATGTGTAGGATAGATAAGGGATGAATCATGGAGTGGAAGTTACGAGAGTAGTCATCGAGGAAGATAGTTTCGGGATTCTGTTGCATAAAGCAACTGTTTTGGAAAGGAGCTGCTGGAGCGGAACTTCTTCTTTACCAATGGAATACAAATGAGAATGAGTTGACTCTGTGAAGGCCTGGACTGGTGAAACTCAGGAATATAGCTCGTCAGAACATTTGCTATGGAAATAGCGATGGACATGCAACATTTCGTCTGTGGGAAATGGGTTGTTGGGTGGAACATAATTAACCACTCATGAGCCGGCGTAAATGCTTTTCAATTTTGTCAGGTCTAGAAAATGAGGATTTGGCAGCTCCAGACCAGATGTGGCATCAATACTCGAGTTTTTGGTCTGATCTGACAAAAGGATTGACTATGGCGGGAGGATAATTTCGATCATTTTTTTCCAATACCTTAGGTGATGGTTTTGTATTTCCGCATTGTAGTCTACCTGTACGCCAAACCTTTACCAGCTTGAAATAATTAATGGAAGAATGACATTCATCTGTGAATTTAAGACAAGTTTAACATTGAAATGAGTTAAGAACTTTTTAACGGCGTTGCAACGCTAATGTTATCCACACATTTCTCTTCTACGTCTCCAAGAAGCATTAAAATTTCAACGGACCGTTGAATAGACACAAAACATTTGTTAAATTATATAAACACCTTTCTATTTTCAAGAAAATATTGATAAACATTAACAAATAAAGCACTGAAGATAAGTATCTTGATTTATTTGGTGCAAACGTGTCTGACAGCTTACAATAAATTTAGAAAAGAAATATTTCGATAAGGAAGAAAACAAGTTCAAGCGCCCCCCACAAAAAAAAAAAAAAAAAGCAAAAATAAATTGTTCAGAAAAATATAAAGAAAGAAGATGGATGGACGTGAATAAAAAGGTTTTATGAGTATGTTCCCATTTTTCTTAAAAATGCAATATCTTTTGAGAATGAAGGCGATCACGGCTTTCCATAGATACCTTTTCATTATTTCTGAATTACTATTATATCCTGGGGAAGATAGTGAAGAGGTTTTTCATTATCTCTTTTATCGGTTTTGAATTCAGTGTTCAAACTCCTCAACTGGCTTACATCTAAATCTAGAGAGACATACCTTTTTTTTTTTTAGCATTACACCCCGAGCAAGGCGTGAAGCCACTAGGATGCAGGGGGTTGCAGAAGATTTGGAGCATGAGCAGATAGGAGTGATAGAAGAAAGGATGAGGAGAGGGATAGTGGGTAGATCAAGGTAACTGGAGATGTCGATTGACATTACATTTGAATAGTTGGAGATTATAGCTTTCAGGGAAACAGTAATTGGGAAGGGTGTTCCACAGGCAAGAGGTACAAGGTATGAAGCTATTGGACTAGAAGAAACGGCTACATTTTAAAGTTTCTACAGTGTGAGGGTGGGAGCGGGATGCCAGCCTCGTAGGGCGCTTGAATTCATGGAGTCTGGAAACCAGTGAAAGCAGCTCATCGGAGCAATTACCATGAAAGTATTTGTAGAAAAGACAGAGAGAGGTGACGGCGCGTCTGTGAGAGAGTGACTGTAGACGAGATGCCAGATCAGGGCAAATTATATTACATATCCGTCTCTGGATCTTGTCAAGAACTCCGAGGTAAACAGAAGGTGCCCCAGACCATATATGGCAGCAATACTCCATGCAAGGGTGAATGGTTGATTTGTTTATTTGAAGTATCGATTCCAGGGAGAAAAATTTCCTGGGGCCAACTTTCCTCGTGGTGGAAGAAGCAATTGACTCAATGTATTTGTTCCATCTCAGGTCAGCAGTCAACGTGAGACCGAGCAGACGTAGGGAGTTGCTCTCAAGAAGTTGACTATCAGACATTCTAATGGGGGGCAGGGAAGGATCTCTATGGTGATTAATAGAGAGTAGTTTAGTTTTTGAGGCGTTAAAGTTGATACCTACCCTATTATTTACAAATAGGCTATTTTACCAGCCACAGTAAAATAGGTACCAAGGCTGATTTGTCGGTCTCGGTAAAATAAACACCAAGGCTATTTTTCCGATCATGGTAAAATAGATGCCAAGGCTATTTTTCCGGTCCTGGTAAAATAGAGAGCAAGGCTATTTTGCCGATCATGGTAAAATAGATACCAATGTTATTTTGCCGGTATCGTTAAAATACACACGATTGCTATTTTGCCGATGCCGGTAAAATAGACACCGAGGCTATTTTGCCAGTCCTGTTAAAATAGAAACTAAGGCTATTTAGCCGGTCCCGGTAAAATAGACAATATGGCTATTTTGTCGGTAACATAAATAGTGTTTTTGAACGAAGAATATATTGTATTTGATTATTATATTTCTTGTGGCCTTGTTAGGGCCAGAAATAAAGACACCAAGAGAGGAATTGAGTTAAACAAATATATCAACAGAAACAGTAATACAAACATATACAAACGAGAGTGTTACAGCAAGAATGTTCGGTCCGACTGTCAGAGCTGACTGCTGGAAACTTCCCCCCTCCAAAAGGCAATACCTGCTCCTATTTATAGTTGAAGGAGTCCGTGCGTGAATGGGAAAATTACGATAAAAATATTATACTTAGAATATATTATACTTGAGATCGTCAGTGCAGTGGTTGTGTGAGCTGTGAAGGTGGGACTTGGACAACATGGATTCTGTGTTCTGTGACTGTTGTCTTCACTGGCTGCATTTGGACTGTATTGACAAGGGAACCATGTCAAAGGGCAAGTTTTGGATTTGAAGAGACTGTTATGCCTGAAGTGCGAAAAATATTTAGAGACTTCTATATTCCTTTTAATAATAATGAATAAATGATTTATCTTGTATCATCAATTGATACTGGAAAAGATTGTCTTAACGATTGATGGCTAAAAATAAACTTCTATATTTAATCTGTGGGCTGTTATTTTTAACATAACCTGCATTCATAATAATACAAATATTT